GGAGTTGGAAGCATTGAAACTGAAAGATCTTAAAGCCAAAAATTATCTTTTTCAAGCTATTGATCGGGCCATTTTGGAGACAATTCTTAGCAAAGATACCTCCAAACAAATTTGGGACTCCATGAAGAAAAAGTATCAAGGAAATGCAAAGGCGAAGCGGGTGCAGCTTCAAGCTCTTCGGACCGAATTTGAGACTTTACGCATGAAGTCAAGCGAATCGGTCACTGATTATTTCGCAAGAACGATGGCAATCGCTAACAAGATGAGGATTCATGGAGAAAATTTGAAAGACACCACCATTGTCGAGAAGATTCTTCGATCAATCATAACAAAATTTAATTTTGTTGTATGCTGTATAGAGGAATCGAAAGATATTAATGCAATTTCAATTGATGAGTTGCAGAGTTCTTTGTTGGTTCATGAGCAAAAAATTAACCAGCAAGAGAAAGAGGAGCAAGCACTGGTGGCTTCAGCAGAAAGTCACTCAACATGGAGAGGAGGCAAAGGCAAAAGCAGAGGCAGAGGTAGAGGAAATAATGATCGTGACAACCAACAACAACAATACCAACACCAAGAAAATCAATTTCAAGGAGGAAGAAGAGGACGAGGAGGCTATCCATTAACAAATCAAAGGCCAAATTCAGCAGACAAGTCCAATGTTGAATGCTACAAATGTCATAGGTATGGCCATTATCAGTCCGAATGTCGAACTAATTTGAATAGACAAAATGGAGAAAGGACTAATTTTGCAGAAAAAGAAGAAGAAATGTCTCTTTTGATGGTGTGCCACATGAGTGAAAAAACTCAACAAAACACGTGGTATTTAGACATCGGTTGCAGCAATCACATGTGTGGAGATAAGAAGACATTCTCTGAATTGGACGAGTCATTCCGTAGCACTGTCAAGTTTGGTGACAACTCTACAATTTCTGTTATGGGAAAAGGAAGGGTAATTATCCAAGCTAAAGAAAATTCTTCTACCCACACTATTACTGATGTTCTTTTTGTTCCAGACTTAAAGACAAATTTGCTTAGCGTGGGTCAGTTGCTCGAAAAAGGGTACGAGATTTCAATCAAAGATGGTGTATGTCAGATTCGAGATGCAAAGTTGGGCTTAATTGCTCAAGTTAAGATGACGGCAAATCGTATGTTCCCACTCTATTTGCAGAACTTGACTCATTCATGTTTCTCGACAAAATCGAAAAATGTGGCATGGTTATGGCATTTTCGTTGGACATTTGAATTTTGGTGGACTGAAAACTTTGCAATAGAAAAATATGGTAGCTGGTTTACCTCAAATCACAACTCATTCAGAAGTTTGTGAAGAGTGTGTTGTTGGCAAACAACATCGAGATAGCTTTCCAAAAGGAAAATCGTGGAAAGCAAAAAATGTCTTGGAGTTGGTTCACTTTGATCTATGCGGACCTATAAATCCATCATCTAATGGTGGAAAACGTTATTTTATGACGTTTACTGATGATTATAGTCGAAAAACTTGGGTCTATTTTTTGCAGGAAAAATCTGAAGCATTTTCAACATTCAAAAATTTCATGACTCTTGTCGAAAAGGAAGCAGGCAAATCCATAAAATTTTTTCGCAGTGATCGTGGTGGAGAGTATAATTCACAAGAATTTATAAATTTTTGTGAGGAGCATGAAATTCAGAAGTAGCTTACAACAGCTTATACGCCGCAGCAGAATGATGTTTCAGAGAGGAAGAATCGTACAATATTGAACATGGTGAGGAGCATTTTGACAAAAAGTGGTGTTCCAAAAAATTTTTGGCCTGAAACTGTCAATTGGAGCATTCATATATTGAACAGAAGTCTCACACTTGCTGTTAAAAATATGACGCCTGAGGAAGCATGGAGCGGATGGAAACCAACAGTGGATCACTTCAAAATTTTTGGATGCATTGCCTATGCTCATATTCCAGAGCAAAAGAGGACAAAACTAGACAACAAAGGGGAGAAATGCATTTTTCTTGGTGTTAGTGATCAGTCAAAAGCTTATAAGCTTTATAATCCTATCACCAAGAAAATTGTCATCAGTCGGGATGTAATTTTTGATGAGGAAAATTTTTGGCCATGGAGCAGCAATATTATTAAACAACAAATACCCGCTAATTTTGATGGAGTTGATGAAGAAAACAGGCAGCAGTTGACAGAACAAATTCCATCAAATGGTCCAGATAATGTATCAAATTCCCAAACAGTAGTAGAAGATGAAGGACGGCCTCAACGTATTAGAAAAAGACCTGCATGGATGATTGATTATGAGGTAACTGGAATTGATCAATTTGAAGACCCACTTACATATTTTGCACTATTTTCCGATTGTGATCCTATAGTTTTTGAAGAAGCTGTCAAAGATTTGAAGTGGCAGAAGGCAATGGATGAAGAAATTGCCGTTATTGAACTAAATAACACTTGGGAGTTAACCAATCTTCCAGAAGGACAAAAATCTATAGGTGTCAAGTGGGTGTACAAGACGAAATTAAAGGAGAATTGAGAAGTTGACAAGTACAAGGCACGTCTGGTAGCTAAAGGCTATAAGCAAGAGTTTGGGGTGGATTATGGAGAAGTTTTTGCTCCAGTCACAAGGCATGACACGATTAGGATGGTGATAGCATTGGCAGCTCAAAATTCATGGCCTATCTTCCAGTTGGATGTAAAATCAGCATTTTTACATGGTGATTTACAGGAACAGGTATTTATTGATCAATCTCCTAGTTATGTGAAAGTTGGAGGTGAACATAAGGTATACAAACTCAAGAAAGCATTATACGGGTTAAAACAAGCCCCACGTGCTTGGTATAGTCGTATAGATGCTTATTTTTCTAAGGAGAGATTTAAGAAATGTCCATATGAGCATACACTTTTCATAAAGATTGGAGATGGAGGTAAATTGCTGATTGTTTGCTTATATGTTGATGATCTTATTTTTATTGGAAATGATAGTGCCATGTTTGAGAAATTCAAGAAATCTATGATGGCCTAATTTGATATGTCTGATCTTGGAAAGATGCATTATTTTTTGGGTATTGAAGTGGTGCAATCTGTTGATGAAATTTTTGTCTCTCAAAGAAAATATGTGCAAGAAATTCTGAACAGGTTTCAAATGTCGAATTGTAATTCTATTTGTACGCCAATTGAAGTGGGTTTAAAACTCATCAAAGAACCAGGAGGAAAGATGGTTGATAGCACCCTTTACAAGCAAATTGTGAGAAATTTGATGTATTTGACAGCAACTAGGCCTGATATTATGCATGCTGTAAGTCTTATTAGTAGATACATGGAAAGTCCAAGGGAGACACATCTTCTAGCTGCCAAGAGGATTCTTCGATACTTGCAGGGAATCATTGAGTATGGATTATTTTACAAGAATGGTGAAAAATCAGATTTGTTTGGTTTTACTGACAGTGACTATGCAGGCGATTCTGGTGATAGAAAGAGTACGTCTGGATATGTGTTCATGATGGGTTCAGCAGCTATTTCATGGTGTTCAAAAAAACAACCAATTGTTACGTTATCAACAACTGAAGCAAACTACAACCGCCTGTGCCTGTCAAGCAATTTGGTTAAGGAATATTCTTGAAGAGTTGCATTTTCAGCAAGAAAGAGCTACTACAATTTATTGTGACAACAGTTCTTCCATCAATCTATCTAAAAATCCAGTTCTACATGGAAGAACCAAGCACATAGACGTTAGGTTTCACTTTCTAAGAGAGCTCACAAGGGATGGAATAATTGATTTTCTCTACTGTAAAAGTGAAGATCAGATTGTTAAAATAATGACCAAGCCATTGAAGTTATTCACATTTCAGAAATTAAGGAAGTTACTTGGAGTCTGTGCAGTTGATAAGTCCTATTAAACTGATCGAATATTTGAGAAACTTTCAGTTTAAGGGAGGGATTGTTAGAAATATTTACCGTTATTAATTAATTAATGGAGTTAGTGTAATTAGTGGAGTTAGTGGAATAACTAGTGGGATTAGTGGAGTACCTAGTGGAGTTAGTGGAGTTGCTAGTGGAGTGAATGGAGTTATTGGGATAGTTAGTGGAGTTAGTGGGATAGTTAGTGGAGTTGGTTTAAACTCTATAAATAGAGTAATTTCATATTATAAGTTGTGTGAGTTTTACAAAGAAAGAATCATTTGTCCTTTGCTTCTCTTATTATTTGCCTCAATATTTGTATCAGAAACTGATGAAATCAAAGTGCATAAGCAAGGAGCCTGGGTATAGTTGGCTCGAAATGAACGGTAAGGTGCACAGATTTATGTCTGAAGATAGAAGCCATCCAAAGTCCGATTAGATCTACTTGAGAACTAGTGAAGTCATGGGTTTAATCAAGAAAGCTGGATATGTACCAGACGTGAATTTTGCACTCCATGACATCAACTACGAGGGCAAGGAACAAGGTCTTGCCTACCATAGTGAGAAGTTGGCCGTTGCATTTGGCCTTCTATATGTGCCACAAGGAGCACCCATTAGGATGTACAAGAATCTTAGGGTCTGTGGTGACTGCCATGCTGCTATGAAACTCATATCGAAAATGTTCTGCCGTCATATCATTTTACGAGATTCAAATTGCTTTCATCACTTTAGAGACGGGACATGTTCTTGTGGAGATTATTATTAGTTCTTTGGACCAGGTTAAGGTGAAATTCTTGTAATCCATGAGCACACAATTTAGCAATGAGGCAACGAAGTCAACTTCTCATACCAAAAAGTATAAATGGTTGTCGCCCCACAATGTACGGACCACCCTATACTGTGTACATTTAACTTCTGGGGAATCAATAAGGAAATAGAGAGAGAAAATGAAGAGGGCAGAAATTGGTTTTCTTTCTACCCTCATTTTTCAATTTGCGTTCGTGTACACGGTGTAGAGATCTTTTTGTACAAGAATGTCTCAACGCCCATCTAGGAATATATTCTCCCGATGGACGGAAGCGTAAACCAAATGAAACATTTGGACGCGAACAATTATACATTGAAGTCAAAGTGAACCCAGGTAATCTTTCACCATCGTCAATATAGGACTGGAATAATCAGCCCCTTCCAACTTTTGAAACATAATCCCGTCCATGCGCGCTTGAATTCCATCAGAAACTGCCAATTCATCCAATAGTTGTTTCAAAACTCTGTCTGCTCCGACGAGAGAGTTTCCTATGCCAGTTAAAATCTCTGGCAGCGATGGCGATGGTTTAACCAGCTCAACAAGAGTAACCTGAACATGAATCATCATCAATCCAACAGAAAAATTAACATGACAGAAAAGTGAAGCCCATCTCATCAAATCGATTGCAGATATCATGTAAACAAGCTCCGCAGGCAAGAGAAAACTTCAAGCACCGATTATTTAGCATCACACTTTGCAGACAGAACAGAAATGCTCAACCATGATGACTAAACACAGATCCAGTACCCGAATCACGTTTTCCTTATGTAATGCTTCTCAGGTTTATCCAACACATATATCTTAGTATCCTAACTCTAAAACTGCAATAAAAAATCCTAGGGCATGTAGTTTCAGATCAACTGCAATCAAGATCAATTTTGTTGTTCAATCATGCAAAAGCTTAAATCAAGTGTACATATTAGGTTCAGCATTTACAGGTAGTTTCTTTATCATTCCTTTTTTCTTTTCCAAATGGAGTGTATGGATAAAAATGCAAAAAGAATGGCACTTAAGGGGTGCAGGAGGAGATGCAAGACAAGAAAGAATTAACCCCTTTTTCTGTATGCCTGGGCACAAACTAAAGCATATGTCTGCAGACTGCTACCCCAAAAATGGATATCAAGGGTAAATGAAATTCACAAACACGAAGCTAATAAATCTGCGCAGAAGAATGGTTTGGCCACATAAATGTGCCTCACTCGAAGATCGGCATAATCCACTGCTCCAGTTTTACCGTCTAATATCTGATAATAGGCAACATGGGCATATGTGGCACATCAAATATTCTTGTTGAGGAAGTGAATTACTTGGGCTAGAAAAGAAGCATCTATACTGGAACACCATTTTTTTTTCCCTTAATCCATTATTTTTTCATAAATTTGTCTTGTAAATGATGAACGAAATGCTGTCCATTTTTATAGAAATTCACCAAACAGCAGAACAAAAACTAACCTAAATGGCCGTTGTTCTGCAGCAGTGAGCTCAGCATATCTCCCCCTTGATATTATCTCCTTGTTAAAGCCAATCTTTTCATATAATTTTCCCAGACTGAACTTTCTTGCACCAAAACAGTGACAAAATCTGCCAATAGTGCATGAATACATTTTGTGCAATCTCCAATGGAAAGCTCGGCTTGGGTCAAAGGTGCTTAATTTAAAGAACGAACACTACTCATCTATTTGCAACAACTGTACGAGAAAAAGAAAAGGCATTGAAATAAAGGCAGAAAAAATCGAACAAAGCAGTGGAAAACACAGAATAAATTTCCACTAATGCCGCGTCAGTAGAACAGGAAAGAAAAGACCTGGCAGACAATTACTTTTGCTAGCTAAATCACAATTAGGTACATCTAATTACACAGGTGACCTCATTCCTGCAGTTGATGATCAAATTAGATAGCATTCCCACCTAAATCTGATTTATAACATTACAAGTAGCTTATCCTGCATTCTAAACTTGTCTAAGGTGAGAATTACAGCAATTGCATGCAGTAATGCAGTAATGACTCCTGACTTGGGCCCTGTCAAATGCTATTCCCATAGACAATACCAGAGTGCCATTGGGACTGCTTATTTCTAGCCAGGAAACACATTTAAAATGCTACATGCATTTCTTGTGGAATCATTATCTCTTTTATCCAGTTGGTTTCTGCTCATACAAAACTCATCACCATAGCTACTGAAAAGGTCTTAAACAACAAATGACATATAAATAACATTACAAAGAACAGATATAATTTAAGAAAATTATCACTTGGAGTTTCCATAATTACCTGTCACAACTCCAATTGAACCAGTCAATGTTAGATTTTCTGCAACTATAATTCCAGTTCCCATTGCCGTGTAATATCCTCCACTAGCTGCCACATCAGCCATTGATGCAACAACAGGCTTAGAGTCAGCCAAGAGTCTGATTTCTCTCCACATTCTGTTGGACACAATCTTTATGGATCACTGAACCATTCATCAGAGTTCGGGAAATAAGCTATCAGCTTGTCGCATTTATTTTCCCAAAAAACTGCAGATATTGTTGCCAAGAGCAGAGCATGTGCATTTCATTACCGTAAGCATACTGCTAACTGTTTGGGGTAAACCACAGAAACGTAAATCTTAATGGGTGAACAAAGATTTTAAGCAAAACAACAAAAATGAGACGGATCTATGGTTGCTAACCTATCTTTGCATTTGCCAGATATAGCTCTTCCTCAGTGAATATTTAAAGTAAGCACTTACAGTGATCACAACTGAGACTCAAAGACCGTAAAATACGAAAATAGTTTCACAGATATGTTGAAAAGATTTTATGCAATATCAGGGCTTCTATCTCACAGTCCTTAAAAAGCATAATGATGCCCAAGGTAGATCTCACTGCTTCATCAGGCTGGTCTGCAGCAGGTTTTTGTTTTATGTTTCCCTTAAATTTTGTATTCACTTAGACGAGTGCCTACTTCTTGCCATAAATCACACAGTACAGAGCTAAAGAATACATTCCATTATTGCATGACTTGAAAATTGAAAATTGTAAAAAGGAAATCTGGTAAAAAAGTGTAAGAAGAAAATTGAAGATTATTTTGATGGATACATAATTATCTTCAAAGCTTGACTTAAGCTGAAGCTGATGATATCTTGTCATCCAATCTGCATCTCCAATTTATGTTCGGCCAATAGTCACTTGGGTTTGAAAACAAAAGGGCCAAAAATGGGATTTCTGAATGCGACAAATTCTGAGCCCATCACTAGTAGTGTAGAAAAAAAAGGTTTTAATAAAAATATGAATTGTCTTGCAGTATCAGATTTTAGGTATACCGAATTACAAATCGAAAACATCTTTGCAAAATAATATTTAATTTGAAAAATAAAACCCGTAAATTCAAATCTATTTCTAAACCTTTTTTTTTTAATATAGACACATAGCATATTTACCTTGCATAGGCCTTCAAGGGATCTGTTGTTAAGGCCTCAATGGTCCATAAAATTTAACATGTAAATACCATACCCAGAACTGCTCACACTAATAGCTTAAATTATTTTCCCATGAATACCATCATTACCCCTGTGAACACCAACTTAGTTAGGAGCTTAGTTTTTATATTTTTTATGAATATATTTCTCAATCATTTTTTTACGTTGCATATATCAAATCACCATGGTATATTTTTCTATAAAAATTTCAAAAAATATATTTCAATTAGAGAAATCATTGATTCTATTCTATACAACTAAAACGTTAATAAATTCACACAAAAAATTTTGTGATTCTTCAGATATAATATTTTTATGCATTATCATTGCATACATATGCTATTTTTTTATGCACTATTAGTGTTCAACATGAGCAGATGTACGGACTTTTGTTTCTGTGAATACTACAATTAGGGGTGGACGCGGGTCGGGTACCCATCCCATTTATCATTTGGCTGACTCGACCCGCACCTTGCGGGTCAGCCATTTTCTGACCCTTATCCGCCCTGCATATCAGTGGGTACTTTATAATCGGGTATCCGCTGAGATAGGGTCAAGTCAGCGGGTACCCGCCTCGCCCTATTTATCATTTAATTTTTAAAAAAAAAGGATTTATAGCAATTTAATTTTATATTTTACACATTCATCTAAGATTTCTAAAAAAAGGTTTTTCACCAAGAAACAAGCATGTGAAGAGAATATAAGATAAAGGAAAAAATTAAAAGAATTCAAAATCAATAAATGTTTGAAATAAGAAGCACAATTTTTAATATATATGTTCCACATTAATTAAACTTTTTTCTATAAAATATAAGATCATGACCTATACAAATGAATCTTGTAAATAAAACTATAACATCTCATATTTGTAATGCAATTTGTTCAATAAAATTACTTATTTAGTTCTAACTATTTTATAGTGTGTGTATAAAAATAAAAAATATATATATGTGGGGCGGATCGGGTACTCGCGAGTTTTTAATTATGTGATCCTAACCCGCACCGCATTTTAGCGGGTACCCGACCCTCTTTTGATCCAATCAAATAATAAAAATTGGATATCCTAATTTTGGATCAGATCGGATCGGATATGACGGGTTTTCGGGATAACGGATAATTTTGTCCACCCCTAACTACAATACCTAGTGCCTCTTCAACGAAAAAAAAAAAAAAAAAGATCTATGTGCCTTGTACTCTTCCTTTTGTACCTACCCTATTGTCCTCAAAGGAAATATATAATTAGAATTTCATATGGATAAATAGCAAAACAAATAATGCATTTTTCTAATGGGTTTTTGCTTAATATCTGCTAGTGGATTCTGTATTTGGCCAAGGCATCACAGTATTTGGCTTGGTAGGTTTAAGTGTTTGCATCATTTTAATAATTTTATATAGTCTTTTCTCCTTCTGCACTTCTTGGGAGCAACTGGATTAATAAATTGATCTTCTACGTAAAACTCAACTAAATTAATTAAAGTAGGACAAAGATTGATACAGAAAATAAAATGTGGCTGAAGATCCATTCCGATTCAAACGATTGGTTGTATTGAAATAGGTTTGGCGGACCCAAGCAAGTAGACACCATCGCTTTTCCATCGTGTCCATCGTGCACCGGTGCGGCGGCGGCGGGATCCATTATGCACGCTAGGCCTGTCAACGGGTCGGGTCTAGACCCGGATCCGGTCCGGATCCGTGAAATTATTGCGAGTATGGGTAGGGATTTAATTCCGTTTTCCGGATCCGGATCCGGATCCGTTTTGTCAAACAAAAAAACGGGTCGGATACGGAATATAGTATTCCGGCCCGTATTAGACCCGGATCCGGATATAAATGAATTAATAATTTTAAATATATATATTTATCAATATAATTTGATTAGAGTGATGTATTTTAATAAAGTTAATTTGATTTCTTTTCTTATTTGATTTTTTCTTTGCATTAGTTAAAAATTAGTTTATAAATATATTTTTTTTCATTTTTATTAGAAATTATAAATTTTGCTAAATTTGTTCGGGTAGACCCGGATCCGGATCCGGGACCCGCCGGATCCGGATCCGGAACATAGAATAAAAGACCCGTCGGGTAAACGGGTCGGGTCCGGGTCCGGAATAATGAATCTCGACCCGGACCCGGCCCGTTGACAGCCCTAACGGCGCCCCTTGCATCATAAAGTCTCCCCCAAACAGACCAAGACAAGATAAACAGTCCTGGAAGCTGCAAAAAGGACAAGAACAAAGAGTCTGCCAAATATTTGACTATAGTAGTTGTAAACATCCTAAACAGTGCTCTCTCCTCCCTTCCGTGTCATACTTTCTATTTTGAAATATCTCAAAATAATTATTATATTAAAAAAATCAAAATATTTTTTAATCTCTCTTTTCAATATAATTTTTATTTCTAATAATATGCATGCTATTATTTAAATTTAAATTTTAAATTTGTAAGAGTAAAATTAGAAAGAAAAAAAAGCACAAACATTACAATCAAATCACTATTATTAAAAAATTAAATTCTCCAAACATGACGAAATAAATGGGACGGAGGAAGTAACATGCAAACTTATAAGATGTTTTCTTATGTTTGCAAAAAACAGGAATCGTTAATAATAAAGTTGTAAATTTACTAAGAAAATTGGTATGTTCCTAATAAAATTACACTTTGTAATAAAATTATCAATAATATTCATGAGAAAGAATAGTGCTATACTTTAAGGACTAGTGCAATGTTCATCTTAAGGCATTGGTTGGTTGCGTAGAGTAAAAAATTTAGTGTTTTGTTAGAATATAGTTTTATTTAAACACGTATTCAATTGTAAATAAGCAATGACTGTGAATATATAAGCTACAGATCGAAAATTGTATGCACTAACTAATTTTTTCACAGAAAAATGTTATAGAGTAATAAGTTTTGCTAATAACGCTATATGTTTTTGCTAAGTAAGAGTATTTTTTTTAAAAAAAAAAAAGCATAAAAAGTGCCTGAAGAAATTTTGTAAATATCATTAACAGGATGATAAATTTTACCAAGAACTTTTTAGTCATAAAAAAAGTAGTTGTGAGTTTCAATAAAAGAACGGTAAATTTTACTTAAAAATTGGAATGGTTTGCATGAAAAAATGTTAAGATATGTTAATAATGTAATAAATTATGCTTGAACAAGTAATAACTTCTATGTAATAATAACATCGATCAAAGGGGAGGTTAAGGATTAGGTTATTAGTCCCCTGGGTGACCTCAAGAGTTGCCGGTTTTTGAGGTTTACCTGGAATTAAGAATTAGTAATTTAATTCTGATTTCTTCGTTGAAAGAAAAAGAAACGAGTGGTGAGGTTTCTGAGTATCTTGGGGGTTGGTACACCTTTAGTAGCAGAGGCCTCTCTGCCCTTACCACAAGAATCCCACATCGATCAAAGGGGGGGGTTAAGGGTTAGGTTATTAGTTCCTTGGGTGGCCTCAAGAGTTGCCGGCTTTTGAGGTTTACCTGGGATTAAGGGTTAGTAATTTAATTCTGATTTCTTCGTTGAAAGTAATAACTTCTGTGTTTGAACAAACGGTAAGTTTCGCTTGAAAATTAGTAAGATATGTTTTATATAAAAAATGAAAAGATTTGGACCAAAAGTGATACTAAAAATTTAATAAGATTGTTATTTAAAGAGTTAGTTACAGAAACTGTGAAATTCATTTCTTTTATACAAAAACTTACTATTGGTTATACACAATTTACTGCCACAACTTTGTCCCAAGTGAAACTTATAATAGCTTATTAAAACCTACATGTCGTATTACATTTAGGCCTGTCAACGGGTCGGGTCTAGACCCGGATCCGGACCGGATTCGTGAAATTATTGCGAGTATGGGTAGGGATTTAATTCCGTTTCCCGGATCCGGATTCGGATCCGTTTTGTCAAACAAAAAAACGGGTCGGATACGGAATATAGTATTCCGGCCCGTATTAGACCCGGATCCGGATATAAATGAATTAATAATTTAAAAAATATATATTTATCAATATAATTTGATTAGGGTGATGTATTTTAATAAAGTTAATTTGATTTCTTTTCTTATTTGATTTTTTCTTTGCATTAGTTAGAAATTAGTTTACAAGTATATTTTTTTCTCATTTTTATTAGAAATTATAAAATTTGGTAAATTTGTTCGGGTAGACCCGGATCCGGATCCGGGACCGCCGGATCCGAATCCGGAACGTAGAATAAAAGACCTGTCGGGTAAACGGGTCGGGTCCGGATCCGGCATAGTAATTCGGGTCCGGGTCCGGAATAATGAATTCCGGCCCGGACCCGGCCCGTTGACAGCCCTAATTACATTAGTCACTCATTTGTGACTTATGGTAACTCTTCCTCACTGTAGACTTTTCCAACACTTGAAGGAACTTTAAGCCTCAATTTTTGGTGTTTGAGGAAGATTTGTACTTTTCCAAAATTTTACCATACAAATCCTCCTCTTGGTGCCTCTATGGACAAATATGTCTTGGTCTTTGACAAGTTTAGGTGAATTCTCATAGCCTCGGCTTCTGTCTTTTATGCGATCAACTTCCTTAATGGAGCAGAGAACTTCCTAAAGTTGGCATTCACGAGCCAGCAAAATATTATTGCTGCCAGCACAGCAGTTGCAGGTTGAGAGTCTAGATGATATTTTCTACTTGGAAGAGGTAGATCGGATGATTTACCTTTTGGGCATGTTATTTCTTGTTATCTTCGTATTGTTTTACTTTGAAGTATTGAAGCACATTGTCGAAAGAAAGCTAAAAATGGGCAATATATCTGGAAGACTTTAGAAGCCTGAAATTTGGATTACTAATTTAAGGTGGTTGGCAAATACCTTTTCTAAGGGGACGCTATATTTCTTCAATTTTCATGTTTTCAGTTGGAAAATTCAAATGTTGGGCTAATATCATAATATCAGGCAAGGTGATTTTTCATTAAAAAAGGGCGATTTTTGGTTGTTATGACTATTAGTTTACTAGCAAACTCTTGTCCCAAAATGATTTTAGCAACAATATAGTCTTACTGATGGCTTTATGCTAGCTAATTGCTATGGTTTTTTCTGCCCTCCTATACAATAGTTCAAAGAACAATCAATTTCTTTTGACAAGAGAATCACAATTAAAGTTCATCATATTTTTAAGGAGAAAATCTTATACTGAACCATATACGATTTAAGCGATAGAAACAAACTAATGAATAAACCATTTTCTTGCGAGTTTATGAGTTCCAGCATTTGTATTTATTGTTTAAAAATTTCGTGATTTAAAGTCACTTTTTCTAGGTAAACTTTTTTCTAAATTGGTAGGATTTAAAAAATTCTAAAAAATTGTATACTAAGCCATATATGATTTAAGCAACAGAAATAAATTAATAGATAACCCACCTCTTTGCATTTTTAGGGATTCTTGCATTTTTAGGGATTCTCATTTCTGTGTCTATCACTTGGGAAGAAATGTCATGATTTAGAATGCTTTTTTTTTTCTTTTTTTTTTTTGTAGATGATCTGTTTCGAAATTGGTAGGATCGCAAATGAATGTGATTTATAAGAATTGTGACTATGGTGTTTACATTCTGGTAAAATTACTACCATTTACTGCTGTAGTATCGAAACCAATGCTACACTTATCGTACCATTACAACCATTTACTGCTTTAGGACCCATTATTACGAAATGCACTTTGGGCCGAAAGTAGACAATAGCTATCTCGCTTAGGCTCTGGCGTGGGGACCCTAAATGTCTCTGTCAACAAGGAAGCAGGACACGACAAGAGGTCTGTGAGCTGGAGAAGCAGGTGGGGACCGTGGGGTCGCCCTAGAGGTCTCGCGGCTTGCAACGGGAAAAGAAGGAAAAGTCTCGCCTACAATATATTTGACTATCTTCTGGTCATGACAAAGTTGTAAACCTCGAAGGCTTGAAGCCTTGAACTAAAGTTTATTCAAGATACAGATTTGATCTCAGAGTGAATAGAGGTACAACAATGGAGATATCCTGCAGCAGTAGCCGTAGTTGCTTTGAGCTCGCTCTCGATTATCTGGGCTGGATCAATAAGACATTACCTTATCGGGGTTCTGCTATCCGTGAGCTGGAGAAGGAGGTGAGAGTATTACAAAGCTTTGATCTGTACCTGACAAAGTGTAGAAGGAGGAACGATGAAACCTGTTTGGAACAAGATGAGGAGGAGAAGGATGTTACGTCTTCCAGAATTCAAGATCTGATTATCAGGAGAATGGAAGGTCTTGAATTTGCTTGCAGCGAATACTTGATTCATTCTCGTTCGCCTGATTGGGCTCATATTGAAGGTGAGCTCACCATATTCTTGGAAGCAATCGAGTTGTTTTTCGAAACAGATATCAACGAATCGTGCATCAACTTTCTGCTGGACTGTTACTGGCTGCGAGATCCAGAGCTAGTTATTGATTTCATTGATTCGGTTTTAAAGACTCTGGCGAAAATGAATAGATTCCATTTCAAATGCCTTGGAAAGAAGCTAATGTTCTTGAAAAGCTTCGTTCTCTTGGCCGTGCTTCGCGGTGTCAAGGGTCAGCAACTGATAGATCTCTTGATTCACGCTGAAGTGATGGCTATCAATGCATTACTTCTGTCTTCTACATGTTACTGTCCCACAGATAATGAAGTATGGGATCAAACAACACGTCAAATATATCGACTAATAGATGAGATGATTAATCCTAGTGATCCCCAGGTCCGGGAAACTTACATCCATGTCTTGACTGCTGCAAAGTTATCAAGATCATCAGACATTTCAGATCTGGTGAAAAATAGGCATCTAATAGCTGACTTTATGGATCATCTCGTTCCCAGTATTACGCAGCTGCTGAAATCTTGTACTATTACTCTGGCTCCGATTATGAATCAAATGCTAGAGCTCCTCGAGGGGCTAAGATTCCTGACAGTCCTCCTCAGGCACCAGGAGAAGTTCAAAGAGCTGTGCCTTGAAATGAAGAATCTTATTGGAGTTGTGGCCTGTGATGCAGCAGTTGTAATTTTCTCTCTTTCCGTGAATCAAATCCAAAAAGGCTTGGCCAAGGAAACTGATCTTGCTCTTTTTCATTTGCTTAAAGTGCTCAAGTTTATTAGGGCAGAAGTTACCGATCCAGTAACGTCAGTATCAGGATTTGGTTTTCCTAGGACCAATGAGTTGGGCTCTATGGATTTTCTCCTTGAAAATCTGAAGGAACTAGAAAGTTGTAATGAGGCTGATGATTCAATTGCATTCCCGAAAGATCAAATCCGCACAGTCCTAGAAGATCTCGTATTCTTAAGATCTTTCCTTGTCAAGATAGCAGACCAGCGCAACGGGAATGGAAAACTCCAAGCTCTTTGGAGTCGGATTATGGAGGTTGCACACTGGGCAGAGTTTGTCATTGACTCTATCGTGGTTGGTGATAAACATGAATATTTGAGAAGAGTTGCCAGAGATATCCAGCTTTTGAGGACTGAGGCCCGTGAAACCTATCATAGCACGAGGCATGACTGCGGAGCTCAGAGAACTAACCAGAAATCTTTCCGCATTGAGTCAAGACGTAGCATCCCAGTGTTGAATGAAGTTCTGGTGGGTCTTGATGATGAGATAAAGACAATTATTCACAGTCTTACCAGGGGTTCAAAGCTGTTGGATTTTGTTTCAATTGTGGGTATGGCTGGACTTGGTAAGACAATATTGGCCAATAGAGTTTGCAATGATCCATTAATTTTGAGCCACTTTCATATCCTTGCTCGGTGTACTGTTTCTCAAGTGTATAGCATGCACAGTTTGTTAGTTCAGCTTTTATGCAGTATTTCTTCTAGAAGTCCTGATGAATATCTTGAGATGGATGAAAGTGATTTGGCTCCCAAGCTGTTCAAGCTTTTAAAGAGAAATAGGTATCTCATTTTTTTGGATGATGTGTGGGAGATCAAGGCATGGAATTTGGTCAAAAGTTCATTACCCGATGATGCCAATGGAAGTAGGATTCTCTTCACTAGCAGAATTCAATTGCAATTCAAACCTGATAGCATGGCTCACCATCTCCGCCACCTTACTGACGAAGAGAGTTGTAAATTGCTGCAGAAAAAGGTATTTGGAAAAGAAGGTTTTCCTCCGACACTAGGTAAAGTTGGATCTCAAATAGCAAAATTATGTAGGGGCTTACCTCTCACAGTTGTCCTCACTGCTGGAATTCTTGCTAATACTGCAGAAGACTGCTGGGAAGAAGTTGCAAAGAGTCTAACTTCCAGTATTGTCCTTAATGATGAATACTGCATGATGACGCTTGAGCTGAGTTACAATCATTTATCGGATGATTTGAAACCATGCCTTCTTTACTTCAGTGCATTTCAAGAAGACGAAAACATTCCTGTCCGAAGGTTGTTTTGGCTCTGGATCTCTGAAGGATTTGTGCGAAAGACTGAAGGAATGAGATTTGAGGATGTGGCAGATGACTATTTGAAGGATCTGGTTGATAGAAGTTTAGTTATGGTTTCTGAACAAAGAAGTATGGGTGGCGCTAAAGCCTGCCGACTACATGATTTAGTACATGAGTTTTGTGTGAAAAAAGCCAAAGAAGAAAACTTTCTACATGTTTTGCATAGTCGGAATGATCATACTGGCCCAAGCAACCCCCTCAGAGTTTGTGATCGAAATGCCAGGAATTTGATGATTTGGGAGTCACTGCTAGAATTTCCCTATGTACGCAGTTTATTATTGTTTAATGAGGATGATTTGGGGTTTTGGTTACCTAAACTTCTTAGAGTGTTGGATTTGGGGGAATTGGTGTTTCATGCATATTTGCCTATGGAAGTATTTTTGCTTGCTCACTTGAGATACTTAGCTCTTCGTACTAGAGGAGTAAAATTCATCCCAGCTGCAATAGCTAACCTCTCAAGGTTACAAACTTTTCTGCTACGAGGAAACGGCATTCATTGTTTGTTACCCAAGGCTATCTGGAACATTAAGACATTGAGGCATCTATGGACTACATATCCCTATGCTGGTTTCATTTTTCCTGTTGAAAATCTTGAAGAATGCCCAGGCTTATTTCATTTAGACACTTTAAGCCTTGCCATTGATCCCTCCTCTCAAAGCTTGCAAAAGATACTGACAAAGTTACCAAACATCTGCAGGCTAAGATGTACGAAGACGGCATCAAGAGAAAAATGTACTGGAGATGGGATTCTCGTGTTTGACTGCTTGAGTCGACTAGAATCACTTACTCTGCGTTGCTTTGAGTCGACTAGATTTAAATTCCCGTTGAATTTGAAGAAGCTGACTCTAAAACAAAATGAGCAGCCATGGAGTGAAATCTCAACAATTGGAAAGTTGCCCAAACTTGAAGTGCTTAAATTAGTCGATGACCCCTTCTTTGGGAAAGAATGGGAAATGAAACAAGGGGAGTTCCCTAAGCTCCGAGTCTTGAAATTGTCAAACTTGCGGGACTTTCGCAGCTGGGCTGCATCTTCTGATAATTTTCCCCGTCTTGAGAAATTGATTGTGCACAATTGTTGGATGATGGAAGAGGTGCCTTCTTGTTTAGGGGAATGTCCGACTCTTGAAATGATTGAGGTGAGAGGGTGTCTTGAGTCTGTTGCAAGTTCAGTGAAGCAAATTCAACAAGAACAGATAGATATGGGAAATGAGGTTCTAAAGATCTTAATTGAAGATCCATGGAGTTCCAGCGAAGAAGAAGAAGAAGAAGAAGAATAGTCAAGTTCCTCGGAAACAGAGTCAATCTCCTCACAAGGAGTCTAATTCAAGTTTCTTGAAAAGCTTCCTTTTTTTTTTTTTTTTGGCCCTTTTTGTTTGACTTGATGCTTCCAGCCATAAAATCTCAGTTCTTTTTTTTTCTTTTAAATTCTGCTACAGATTGATATGATGCATATAGTCAGCTAAGCACAAGCCTATATGCAAGATACACTTTTGCTTCTTTGTATTTCGGTCAGAGTAGTACAGACTTTTTAATTGCTTCTCTTTTTCCTCGACAAAGAACCATACACTCAATTAATTAATATGTTAAAACATCTATTTTTTTTTTTTGCAACAAATATTAAGAAGAGATTAGAGACTTGGGCTCCTTTCCGTCTCCTACAATGCATATCTGGTAGGATTAATTCAACTTAAAAAGATGATGTCCAAATCCCTTAAATTAGTTGGTGGTCGTCCTCCTGCATGCTCAAGTCACGTGCATTGTGGATTTGAAGTTGCTTTTTTTGGATGGAATGGTTCTTTTTGTTTTCTTCTTTTTATTTTTCTTCTTGTGATATTATATTTGTTGTGGTGCTGGATTTTTTCCCTCCTCTTCTTTTTCCCCTTTGTTCCCCGGAACTCTGCTGCTATTTAATTGCTTGCCATGTTATTATTTTTGTATTATGTGTATTACTGTTATTATTAGTACTGTATTATTTGTATTAGAATATATATTTTTGTGGTGTTGCTACATTTCTTATATTGGTTTTGTTCTCCTTTTTTCCCCCAAATTCTCTTGCTATTAAATTGCTTGCCATATTATTATTAATTTATTATTATTATTATTAGAATATTCAGTTGTACCATTATGTTATTTTCTCCTTTTTCCTGAATAATAAGTTGTCAAAAAAAATTACTCTTGCGAATCATGGAATAAAGGACCTTTTAGGTATGATTGAATAATGGAATTCGCGTGTGTTATGAGTTAAATATAGATGTAATCAGCTGACGACGTCCTAGTTTAGTAACTAAAGATAAGGGTGCAGAAATTAAGTATCCTAACTTTCAATCTCATGTTGATTTTTTTTTTTTACCGACAATATTTTTTCTCAAGGTTATTGTTTTTTATAATATTTTGTTATTATAATAGAATATGCAATTGTGCTATTATGTAGTTTTCTCCTTTTTCTTGAAAAATAGTTTGCCAAAGAAATTGCGCCTGCGAAAATTCTTTATTATTACGTGGTACTTTTCCTTTTTGGATGGAATGCTTCCTTTTTTTTTTTTCCAAAAACTTTGTTGCTGTTAAGTTGCTTACCAGATTGTTACGTTTATTATTATATTACTATTAGTATATTATGTTTATTACTGTTATTTAGCTTTCATAGGTAGTAATAATAGTTGCGCTGCTACTAGAGTTCTTACCTTTTTTATGTAAATGTAAATCATAAATGATGATATAATTGTGGTGCTACATTGCTTTTGAAATGTTTTCTCTTTTTTTTTTTTGTATGAATTATGATGTTCGCGTGTATCTTACAAATTAGATTTTTATACAGATAGGATCCTGTTTTTCCCCTTGCTAGATGGAGTTGTTATTTTTCCTTTTCTTTTACACCTTTTTCATTTTTTTAATATACAATTGATATCTTTTTCTATTTTTTGTGGGATTTTATTCTTTTTTTTTTGTTATTTCTGCTTATGCAATAATAATCGAAAAAGACATCCTTTTTTTAGTGCGGAATTTTTTGTGCACGTTTATTCTTTTTTTGTGTGATAAAATATACAATTGTGTTACTGTATTGATTACTACTTTTTTTTCTAATAATAGATTAAGAAAAAAAATTCATGCTAGATTTTTAACTACCCATTTTACTGCATCTTTGTCATGATTATTTGTCTAAATTGTAATTTTTTGTGAGCTTTTTATAATAAAATATATAATTGTATTACTTAGTTGTTTTCTTTCTATTTTTAATAATAAGTTAAAGAAAAAATTATTCACAAATTTTTTTACCCACTTTGCAACAAGTTTGTATTAATTTTTGTTCCTGAAGTTTTATTAAGGCCTTCGCTTTTTCAAATTAAGGAAAAGAAATAAGCTTGATATATGATTGTAGTACTGCTGCAATCTTGATTATTACTTTTATTTAGAGGCCTTTCATGTATAAATAAATGAAACAGAGGTGCAATCAATCGCTGAGGCCTTGGTTTAGTAGTTAAAATTGAGATTCTAAAAATTAGGGGTTCTAAGTGTAAATCTCCTTGTCCCTTATTTGCCTTTTAAGTTCCACCTATCCTCTGCTAGAAAAAAAAAATAGATACAGGTGCAATCTATATTTTTATTTTAACCTCTTGGATGGAGTTTTTTTTTTTAACAATTCATATCCTTTTCTCTTTTTTTTTTTGCGGGGGGTTTATTCAACTTTGATATTTGAATGCTATTGCTATGATTTCAATGCATAATAATAATCACAAAAAAAATTTTTACCGACAATATTTTTTAATGAGTTTATTGTCTTTTTATAATAAAATATATAATTGTGTTTCTATTTTGTTTTTTGCTCTTTTTTTTCCCAAATAATAACTAGAAAAAATATCCCTACAAAAAATCTCTATAAATTGTATTAGTTTTAAGAGGTCTTTTATGTATTACTTTTAAGAGGCCTTTCACGTATAAATAAATGATGGAATTCTCGTGTGTCATAAATTAGATCTATAAATTAGATCTAAGTGCAATCGGCTAAGAAGATCTTAATTTAGTAACTAAAGTTGAGACCTCAAAATTAGAGATCTTAAATTCGAATTTCTCGATAATACTTTTTTTCAAGTTTAACCTCTTTTTATAATCAACAAATATCTATATCTACCTACTAGATAAATAAGGGTCCTATAGCAGCCTTTATTACTTGACACGTGGCAGCTAAAATGGAGAGATTTTTCTCCAGTAGGGTCACTCGACATTTGAATGTAGTTCATATTTCGGGTTTTGAGTTATAGGTGGCTTCTTCCTAAATTGCAACCTTGAATGTAGCCACAGCATTGCTATTATCTCCTTGCGTATTTCGTAAGAATCCGACGCTAATTTTTAGTTGGGAATCCACTACTTCAGTAATTTCAATCTGAGTAGATTTTTTCTGTTGTGTTCTGATACTAATTTAAACTCATATTTGTGAATTTGGTTATTTATAGGTTTTCTTGCCATGTAAATATCAACACAGCAATACTCTAATACAATAGCTACGTACTCCTTGTATGTTTTGATGTTCTGCAAGTCTTATTTTTTTGTGCATTTTTTATTTAGTGTTAGAATTTTCTGGAATTAAAGTCTTCTAAACATGCTTGGGTTTCATTCAGTTATATACTTATAGTTGTTAGCATGAACTGTTTCTGAATGTGGTAAACTTAATAATGTCTTGAAAGGACTCTGCAATACTTATAGTTGCTGTGCATTTTCAAAAGCATTCGTATTTTGAAGGAGGGGCTGCTACATGAGGTTATGACTTCTAAAACTCCTGATGATCAGTTTTTCATCCTGCAAAAGTCATGCTTTGGAATTATTTTAAATTACTTTGCAGGATGAGGGATTAAATATTATTGGAATTATTAAGCCTTCGACCTCTTTATGAACAATTATTAGAAAAGGGAAATAAAATGTTAGATACAATTATCCACAATACGTAAATTCAACTTGAAAAAAAATATATGAAATTTCCTTGACATATGAATTACATGGTGCAATTTACTACTATCTTATCTTATTTTGAGACCAACAAAACAACACACATGTTTAAAAATACACTCACAAAAACAACATACTACATTCTTTTTTTTTTTTTTTTAACTTAACAAAAGTCAAATGCTTGGAAATGATTGTGTGCACATTTTTATTTGTCACCGTCGGCGTGATTTTAATTTCTCACCATGTGCAAGCACGGTATTTATCTGCTAGTCAACAGATAAAGGGAGTGGCAAAAGAAAGGTAAAATTTGCCTCAAGCGGTTGTCTTGTACACTTTGCGTATTGTTGTTCTTTGCAGCCCATTTTCGTTGGCATTGGATCTAGAAATAGCTTTGGATATCAAGCCAAAAGGAAAAGAACATCTAAAAACTTGTGCAATAGTTATCTTTATGAATTAGTCTTTTCCACACTGAGAGCGTATATACTAATGGATTTGGATGAATGACATATCATCTGAATTGGAATTTAATTATCAAATTTTGTAGATATTGCAAGCATCTTGACCCATTAGTGTATACACGGTCAGTGCATAGAAGATATATCATTTTGTTAAAATTTATAATGGACTTTGAACTCACATATCAAATTTCTGTCTTCAAGAAAATACTTTTTTCAATGAAAGAGATCATATTTTTTTAATCCTTTTTTTTAATTTTTATAACACAACTCTCTGTTCTCTACAATTTGTACAGAAAAATTGTATCACTTTTATAGGGTTCAACGTAGTCCATCTCTTTTCACTGCATACAATTTGATCAATTTTAACTGTTCAACCTGATCAGAATGAAAAATAAAAAAAAAAAACTAGATGACAATTTTGTTGAGCAATGTTTACACTTCTTTATCCAATTGGTCTTGCTTTGTAACAGTTTCTTCCTCTAGAGAAATTAACGACAATCAAATTAAGATCTTCTTTTAGACTGAAATAGATAGTTTACATTAAGGATCACTAGTTTTTCCATAAAGGATTTTATTATAATTTATGATGCATTCTGACAAGTGACCTCACATATCAAAATTCTCTCCTCAAGAAAAGTCTTTTTCTTCTTCCTTTTTTTTTTAAATTTTGAAAGAGCTTATATTTTTGTCAACATAATTTTTTTTTCTTTTCATTACACATATTTCCATTCTCTATAATTTAAATAGAAAAATTGCATCTGTTTTTAGGGTTGGATGTAATCCATCTCTTTCCGTTATACATATACAGCTTGAAAATATGTCTTCACGTTTTGAAGTATTTTGTCACGATAGAAGAAGATGGGGCTGCTTTTACTCTACAGCTATAATTGCATGCTCTCAATTTTTGAAAATAATAAAATAACTTATAAAAATTTAGTTTTTAACATTGCCTCACTCTTGCCTCCTCATTTTTTCAAAAGTATTCTAGCTAGCTCCACTAGTCTCCCCCAAATGTACTAAAATTTTTTATATTTGCCCTCACTATTTCTAAAATAGAACCTTGAAATAAAATATAATGCTATTTTTTTAATTTCTTTCTAATAAATCTTATTTACTTAACATTGAACTGCATTTTATATCTAATCATACGAATTATAGGTGAACCAAACAATTATTTAACAATTTAAGTGTGTGCAGATTATCTACTATTGGATAGGTTAAAAAGTGTATCTTTTAAGTAATATTAACAATTTTGCAATCATACAATTAGATAACATGATAATTACTATAGATCATAAATCACAAGCTATATCAAAATTTTTTATTTTATTTTTACAGTGTTCAATAAATTTGTTCATGAATGCATAGGAGGCCTTGGTCTAATAGTTAAGGTTGAGAAGTTAGGAATTAGAGGTCCTGTATTTTGATCTCTCTGTCCCCTCCCTATTTCTTAAATTGCTCCTCCTCTGCAAGAACAAAATTTTAAAAGAAATTAAGAAAAATAATTTGTTCACGCATATTAAACTTACTGTAACAAGTAC